ATGACCATGGTGCATCATGGGAGATATTCCTGCTCGGGAGCCTGTCTCGTTGAAGAAATTGGGGGCAAGGGGTATCTGTGCTACAATTAGCATGGGGTACAGTGCTGGGACTGGGAGGCTGACGGCCTTGCTGGACCCTTGGGCAAGGCAGGGGAGTCCCTGGCTCTGTGTTCCCAGAAGGGGTGGGCCCTCTACACTGCCTAGAATGTACCACATACCCCCACCCCATGTAGCCCTCAGAGTCACCCAGGCTATGTCTAGACTGCAAGCTTCTTTCGAAAGAGGCTCTTTCGAAAGCATCTTTCGAAAGAGCCTCTTTCAAAAGATCGCGTCTAGACTGCAGGCGGATCTTTCGAAAGAGAAATCCGCTTTTTCGAAAGAGAGCACCCAGCGAGTCTGGATGCTCTCTTTCGAAGACGGCCTCTTTACATTGAAGAACGCCTTCTTTCAAAAGAGGAACTTTCGAAAGAAGGCGTTCTTCCTCGTAAATTGAGGTTTACCGCCATCGAAAGAAAAGCCGCGTTCTTTCGAATTAATTTCGAAAGAACGCGGCTTGAGTCTGGACGCAGGGGAAGTTCTTTCGAAAAAAGGCTACTTTTTTCGAAAGAACCCCTGGCAATGTGAAGCACTCCAGTGGCTATTTAAAGGGTCCAGGGCTTTTGGCTGCCACAACTGCTACAACAGGATGGGTGTCTGGAAGCAACATTTTTTAATCACTAGGCCTTGGATCTACTGCCTTCTCCCCCCTATCCCCACCCTCACTGTCTCCCCCATCGGCAGCCCTGATACTGTGGAAGCTAAAGGGGGCACTGATTAATATTAAACTAAACTGAAATGAAGTTTTTAGACATTACTGAACTGAAATATTTCAGAATTTTCTGTTCTGAGATAAAATACAATATTTTAATGTTTTATCCCGTTTCCAGGTGCAAACAAATTTTGAGCTATTGGAGCATCCTGTGGGATGGAAATTTTTATTTTTGACCAGATCTAGTTATTCCTTTTTTTTTCTGTTCTAAGAATTATGCAGTCCCCTACTAGATTAATGTTGCTCTGGGTCAAATGTTGCTCTACATCAAACTCTACAGCCATGATCTTTCCCTCCAGTTTATTAAGGGGAGGAAGATCCCTAATACTGAGCCAACAGATTAACTGAATGATTAATTATTATTTATCAGTGTTCTCAGAGATAGAGAGTATGCTTTTAGCTTTGATATTACTACATACTGGCACATTTAGAATGCCAGACATCAAGTCTGAATGGAACTTTATGGACCTGGTAAAAACAGGGGAGAAAGAAGAAATTATTCTAATGTCATAAAATGCTTTTTCATATTTATATAGCACTTCTGCAGCTTACAAAAATATAAATGTAAAGACCTAATGGATGACCTTTAAATTGTCTAATGCTTGCACAACTATTGATGAAACCAAAAGAAGTGCACCATTCTGAATGAAAGTTGAAGATTTAATTCTGTCGCTAGGTTTCCAGGCTTTCTCGGGTCTCTTCTTTTTCAGAAACAGATTAAAACACAGTGAAATATTTGATATTTAAAAGTAGAAATTTCAGGGAGACTGAAGAGAATAGAAAGTGAATATCTGCAATCTCAGTTAAAGGGTTGTCCAGCTGGACTTTATGAGTGCCAACCCATTTTAGGAAAACATTTGCAAAACCACTCCTGGAGATAGTTTAAAAGATAAGGCTGAAAATGGCTAGTGCTTACTGAACAGATGGAGAGGATACCACTGGAGAGATAAGAGAAATAATAGGTATTCAGAGTGACCAAAGCTAAAGCAAACAATTAATCTACTGACTGCCAGGACCACAAAAGAGACCAAGAAAAGAAAAACATGAAACAAGAAGTAAAAAACAATGTCAAAATGAAAATCAAATCTTCATGAAATTCAAATCTTCTGAACCTCTGTCTGCAAAAGACTATCCATATTTGCTCTTTCCACAGTGTATTTTAAACATGTCAGTTCTGACTAAATTAATATTAACCAAGAACAAATAACAGACAGTTCACTAAGTCTGAAATCCACACAAGAGCAGATCTTTGATTCATGGCCTTTCCCCAGATCATTTCATACAGCCATTTCTATAGGAAGTGATGCTCTGGACCACATTGTCCTTTTAGTAGAGCAAAATGGCATGGACTGTATGTCTGCAAGAGCACCATTCTGTAGAGCAGAGGTCAGTAACCTACAGCACACATGCCACTTATGGCACACAAGCCAATTTTCAGCAGCATGTGAGAGGGAGCTCAGCCCCACTCCACCTCCCCCACAGCCACTGGAAAGCACTCCCTCCTCCCTGCAGCAGGTTAGGCTGTGTTGGGAAGAGGCAGCAAGGGGCTGAGGCTCCTCAGCGGCATCTTGTCCGGGACTGGAGAGGCTATTGCCACAGCCACATGGTCCTGGGACGGCCCTGACGGTGCCACTGCCGCAGCCACGTGGTCCAGGGTCAACCCAGGACCACATGGTAGTGGCAGCGGTACCTCTGGCCTCTCGGGCCAGCCCCAGATCATGTGGGCCACAGCAGCAGGGCCTCCAGACCCGGCCCCAGACCACAGTGGCAGCGGGGCCTCTGGGGCGGCCCCAGACTGTGTCAACCGCGGCCTTCCAGTTAACTATGAATTAAGACCTGGGGGATGCAGAAGTGATTCATGGATGGGCAAGCCCACCAATGGGGGGACAAAGAGGGCAGATGCCCCAAGATCCAGAGATTAAAAAAGGGGCCGATGCTCTCCGCTGCTACTACCGCAGCAGCAGTAGCAGCCCCAAGCCCTTTAAATCTCCATCAGAGCACTACCTACGTGGCATGCTGCAGGCACTTCTGAGGACTGGGGGGCAGCACTGAGGACTGGCTGCTCCCAGCCCTGCCCCTTCCACCTGAGGCCCTTCCAGGAGCACAGAATAGTCCCCTGTCCCCACCATGCTCAGGGTCCTGGCAATTCTGTCAGCTCCCCTGTGGATGGGAGTCAAAGACCAAAGCCTAAATCAAAGGGTTAAGCAGAGTCACAGTCAGAAGGTGGAGCCAAAGGTCTAATCTGGGAGTCTAAGGTCAGGGAGGAGCCAGGATCAGTTCAGAATAGGTTGAGCAGGCACTGGACTGCTATTGTGGTACCTATCAGCCTGCTGAGTCAGCCAGCCAGACAGCATCTATCAGAGTCAGCTGGACTCACTGAACTGCCTGAAGATTGGCTGTGCAAAGGGCTAGCCCCCTGATAATATGTGACTTGCAGAGATACCCCATAAATTAGCATCCATGATATGGAAAATATTTGCTCTCCTGACAGTGAGTGAATCCAGAACTGCTTTACGTTGTTTAACCTGCACTCTACAAATTGCTTAGATGCTCAAGTTGGGCCAAATCTTAAAGCCATTACTAGGGTACAGATTCTTATGCAACATATGGGAAAAGTGTAAGCAGTATCACCTCTCCAATCCCTGTACATGCTGTGTGAAGGGCCAGGCAAAACTGGATGTAAGATCAGAGCCATGCCATCCATAGGACAGTTCAGGGCAGCTGTCCCAGGCTCTGCATTTTAAAGGGCCCTGTGGCAGCCACCCCAACTGTCCTATGGATGGGACAGTCCCCCATACAGAGCTTAGCCCACAGGGCGCTAGGTGACCCAGGGCATTGCCAAGGGGCTTGGAGTGGCAGGAGAGGGCAGTCTCCCCACATTCACCACGGCAGCGGGAGCCATGGGAAGTAGAATGACACAGCAGCCTGTTCTGCTCTGTCTTCATCTCCCAGACGGGTCATTCTGCTTCACCAAGATGATGGGAAGTGGAGTGCCCTGGCCCCAGGCAGCTCTGCTCCCTCGAGCCATGCAGGGCTTGGGGGAGTGGAGTGGGCTGGGGCTGGAATGCTGCACTTCATGCCATCAAGGAGATGGCAGTGGAGTGAAGCCGGCTGCCATATCGCTTCACTTCTCATGGTTTTCCACCGTGAGTGTGGGGCTTCTCGACCTCGTTACTGTCTCATGCCAGGCGTCCTGGTAATCCCCCAGGTTGCATCTCTTGGGGGGTGGGGGGATTGGGAGAACGGGTGCAATGGGGTGGAGCAGAGACAGAAAGAGGCAGGGTGGGGTGGAGTGGGGACAGGGTTTGGAAAAGGGATGAAGTTGGGGCGGGAGCAGACACAGGGCAGAGGAGGGGTGGGGCAAGGCTTTGGGTTGCCCTGGGCCCTGCTACCCACTAGGGACAGCCCTGAGTAAGACATACCACACAAAGGTATGTTGTGGCAGTAACACAGCCTCCATATGCCTGGAATGGGCCGTGTACCATAATTGTTCCTTCTATCTAACCTGTACTAGCACAAATAATACATGCTTTTGAAACTGTGGGTGCTAAAACAGCTCATTTTATTCAACACACTACAACAGCTTGCTATCCTTACTATGTTACAACAAAACATTTGCTTGTGCTCAGGCTAGCACTGGCTTTTAACAGCACAATTAGCAAAGCTCAATGGAGAACAATGTTCGCATACCTCCCCAAAGAGTTAACAGTGTATGCAACTTGTAGCAACAAAGCCACTTTGGTTGAGTTGGTTGAAAGTTTTTCATATAAACATGTTTTCCCCTGAGGTTGAAGAGACAAAAATGGCATTTGAATGTAATGGAAATTTTCTCAGAAACATTTTGTTGTCTAAGTTGTCTGAATTTTAACTGAAAAATTAAATTGCTGCCCCTAAATTACAGAGTTTTGTCACCCTTTTTTTCCCTGTGGGGTAAAGGGCAAAGTTTCACTCCTAAAGTTCTCAACCCAAAACCCTAACATTTTCAAAAACTGAAATTGCTTCTCTCCCCCTATTGAAACCCAAATAGTCTCCAAAAGGGAAAAAAAATGTTTTCTTCAAATATTTTCATGCAAAATAAAATACATTTTTGGCAAGCTCTACACTTTTGCTGGCTATCCAGCAGAGAATACCTACATCCTATCCTCACATTTACATAATCCTTTTCATTTCCTCTATAATTTTTCTGTCCTACCTGCTTTGATTCTTGGCAGCTTTATGCACATAAGTCCTCCAGATGGGTGAATTTAGTGCCTCGGAGCTTCAGAATGAGACAGTGCTTCTTAGAAATCAGTGAAAGACAGACAAAAAGAAATAACTGAAAGCACGATGAAGTCATCTTTGCACTGTATTTTAACCAAACCAGTCAGGAGTATTTTTCTGGAACAGATCCTTTCTTAAGTCAATATTTACATACTTCCCTTTTTGTTTTTAATCTGGAAATAGAACAATAGGGAAGTTGCTAACACAATAGATGGGGGGTTTCTGAAACAAACTGTGTTACTTACCACAGTGCACCTTTTGAATGCAACTTAAACTCATAAAGTATTTTATGGGATCTAAATTAACTCATCACATTCACAACAGAACAGAGCCAGGTCCAAGCTGTGAAGAATCAGAATCAAATTCAAACTTCTCCAGAGATTCAATGAAACTCAGATCAGGAGTCCAGGATTGGGAACAAATTTAGATTATAATTTCAGTGAGCAAAAATCTTTTTATACAAAGTAGGATATGGACCTGGTGTAGTTTTAATACAGTTAATATGTAATAATAGTACTAGGTTTCAGAAGTACTATTGCCCATCCATGGAGTCATCTTGAGGATCTTTTACATAATGAAAAAATAATTATTGTTATAGAACATGTTTAATAAATGTGACACACTGAACTCTTTCAACCAAAAGACATGCAACACAAGAAATATTTAAACAGACTACCGAATCATTGAAGATGATAGGCCTAAGCACAGTCAACCACTGAGACCCATCGACCAGAAGGCAGGGGATGCATAGATTTAGGGATAGGGGGTTCCGCGACCACCACTTCCAAGAGAAAGAGACGGTGGTGGTGGTCAGGGACTCCCTCCTAAGAGGGATGGAGTCATCCACCTGCCATCCAGACTGGGAACTTCAAGAAGTGTGCTTCTTACTTGCAGCTAGAATTCAGGATGTGACCAAGAGTCTTCCGAGACCTATCACACCTTCAGACCATTACCCCTTCCTACTTCTCCACTAACGATACTAGCAAGAATGACCTTGAGTGGGTCACTGCAGATCACATAGTACTGGGAAGAAGGCTCAAGGATTTTGAGGTGCAAGTGGTGTTCTCGTCCATCTTCCCTGTTGAAGGAAAAGGTTCATTGTTGAATTTTGGAAGTAAATGCGTGGTTGTGCAGGTGGTATTGGAGAGAGGGCTTTGGATTCTTCAACCAGGGGATGCTGTTCTGGGCACAAGGATTGCTAGGAAGAGATGGGATTCACCTAGCAAAGAGAGGGAAAAGCATCTTTGCAGGCAGGCTTGCAAACCTAGTGAGGAGGGCTTTAAATTACTGTTGTCGGGGGACAGTGACCTAAGTCCTGAGGTAAGTGAGAAAGTGGAATACTGGGAAGAAACACAAGGAGGAAGGTGCAACAGAGGAGGACCCCTAATTCTTATGGAGAAGGTAGGGCAATCAGGTAGTTATCTCAGGTGTCTGTACACCAACACAAGAAGCCTGGGAAACAAGCAGGGAGAATTAGAAGTCCCAGCACAGTCTAAGAACTATGATTTGATTGGAATAACGGAGACTTGGTGGGATAGTTCACATGACTGGAGCACTGTCCTGGAAGGGTATAAACCGTTCAGGAAGGACAAGTGGGGGAGAAAAGATGGAGGAGTTGCACTGTATGTAAGAGAGCACTTAAAAAACAATGAATATTCCTATAGTACCTTAGGGTATGTCTAGACTACATGGCTCCATCGACAGAGCCATGTAAAGTAGTTTACTCGACATAGTCAATGAAGCGGGGATTTAAATATTCCCTGCTACATTAAAATAAAAATGGCCACCGCGCTGTGCCAGATCAGCTGATTGTCGGCACAGCGCAGTCACCATTTTTATTTTAAAGAAGCGGGGATTATTTAAATCTCCGCTTCATTGGCTATGTTGAGTAAACTACTTTACATGGCTCCGTCGACAGAGCCATGTAGTCTAGACACACCCTTAGAGACTAACAAAAAAAATGTAGATTGTAAGAGACCAGTATGATTGCTCAGAGCTCCAGTATATAGAGGGGGAAATCCTGAAGAAAGCCTGTTGGGAGTCTTTGGGTTAAAGAGGGAAGAGCAACAGAGGTGATGTTGTGGTTGGTGTCTACTGTAGACCACCTGATCAGGTGGATGAGGTAGATGAGGCTTTCTTCAGACAACTAACAAAAGCTTCCAAATCACAGGCCCTGGCTCTCATGAGGGGGCTTTAATCACCCTAACATCTGTTGGGAGACCGATACAGCAGTACACAGACAATCCAGAAAGTTTTTGGAGAATGTTGTGAGCAATTCCATGGTATAAGTGCTGAAAGAACCAACCAGGAGCCATGCACAGCTTGACCTGTTGCTCACGAACAGGGAGGAACTAGTAGGGGAACTAGATATGAGTGGCAATCTGGGAAACAGTGATAATGAGATTGTCAAGTTCAGGATCCTGTGAAAGGAAGAAAGGAGAGCAGCAAAATACACACCCTGGACTTCAGAAAATCAGACTTTGACTCCCTCGGAAAATTGATGGGCAGGATCCCCTGTGATGCTAACATGAAGGAGAAAGGAGTAAGGGAGAGCTGGCTGTATTTTAAAGAAGCCTTATTGAAGGCACAGGAACAAACTATCCCAATGCGCAGTAAGAAAAGCAAATATGGTAGGTGACCATATTGGCTTACCGAGGATATCCTTGGCAAGCTTAAACACAAAAAGGAAGCTTACAAGAAGTGGAAACTTGGACAGATGACTAGGGAGGAGTATAAATATATTGCTCGAGCATGCAGGGGTGTAATCAGGAAGGCCAAAGCGCAATTGGAATTGCATCTAGCAAGGAATGTGAAGGGAAACAAGAAAGATATCTACAGGCAGGTTAGCAATAAAAGGGTGGTCAGTGAAGATGAGGGACCCTTACTGGATGTGCACCCCACACTGATGCTGCACCATCCCCGGCATGCTGGGGAGAAGCGGCTGCTCCGCACTGCCCCTGGCGGTACTCTTCCTGCTCTGCCGCAGCCAGGGGGCCGGCAAAGGCGGCCCTGCGCTCCATGCCAGAGCCCGACTGGCCCCGAGGGGTGGGGGAAGAAGCGGCGGGGGGGTCCCAGCCTGGATTGCCAGCAATGCTGGCCTGGGCAAGAACCAGCAGGGAACGGGAGAGGAGGAGGGGCCAAGGATGCCAGCGTGGCTCCCCCTCCCCTTCACGTCAGACGCACCGGCGGCGGAACGTTTAAAAGTCGGGAGAAGAGGTCACCGGGAGGAGAGCAGGGGGCGACCCTGAGCCACAGCGTGAGAGCAAGGGAGGTAGGAAGCGACCCAGGGCAGGGTAGAAACCCGGGGGGGTTGGTGCAGTACAGGTTGGAACCCCCACCAATCGGAACTGGGACTCCATCCCAGTCCTTAGAACCCTGGGTCGGGGCTTGGAGTGAGGGTGGGCCCAAGCCCCCCCTGCCTTACCCTGCTGACTAGCCGAAAGTCAGATGGGAGGCGGGGGATTTCGGGATGACGGGTTCACAGGCTGTCGACGATGCAGGTGACGGAGAGCACAAAGAGGGTACTTGGCCCGGTGAGGCGCCGGGCGGGGAGTGGACTGACGGACCCCAGGCGGGGTAGCACCCCCACCCCCTGACATGTAGGAAAAGCTTTTTTTTGCCTCTGTCTTCACAGACAAGGTCAGGTCCCAGGCTACTGCTCTTGGGAACACAATATATGAAGGAGGTGGGCAGCCCTCAGTGGAGAAAGAACAGGTTAAGAACTATTTTAAAAAGCTGGCTACATTTAATGCATCCAAGGGTGCCAAGGGCATTGGCAAATGTGATTGCAGAACCATTGGCCATTATCTTTGAAAACTCATGGAGATCGAGGAAGGTCCCGGACGATTGTAAAAAGGCAAATGTAGTGCCCATCTTTAAACAAGGTGGCTACGTCTAGACTGGCATGATTTTCCAGAAATGCTTTTAATGGAAAAGTTTTCCATTAAAAGCATTTTTGGAACAGAGTGTCTAGATTGGCACGGACGCTTTTCCGCAAAAGCACTTTTTGCAGAAAAGCGTCCGTGGCCAACCTAGACGCGCTTTTCCACAAAAAAGCCCCAATCGCCATTTTCGCGATTGGGGCTTTTTTGCGGAAAACAAATCTCAGCTGTCTACACTGGCCCTTTTGCGCAAAAGTTTTGTGCAAAAGGGACTTTTGCCCGAACGGGAGCAGCATAGTATTTCCGCAAAAAGCACTGATATTTTACAGTAGGAAGTCAATGCTTTTGCGGAAATTCAAGCGGCCAGTGTAGAGAGCTGGCAAGTTTTTCCAGAAAAACGGCTGATTTTCCAGAAAAACTGGCCAGTCTAGACACAGCCGGGAAGAAGGACAATCCAGGGAACTATAGACCAGTCAGCCTTACCTAAGTCCCCAGAGAAATCATGGAGGGGATCCTCAAGCAATCAATTTTAAAGCACTTGGAAAAATGAAGGGGATCAGGTATAGTCAAGCAAGGGCAAGTCTTGCCTGACTAACCTGTTTGCCTTCCATGACAAGGTAACCGGCTCTGTGGACATGGGGAAGTTGGTGAATGTGAGATATCTTGACTTTAGCAAAGCTTGCAATAAGTTCTTGAACAGTATTCTTGCCAGCAAGTTAAAGAAGTATGGATTGGATAAATCGACTGTAAGTTGGATAGAAAGCTGGCTAGATTGTGGGGCTCAATGGGTAATGATAAATGGCTCAATGTCTGGTTGGCGGTTGGTTTCAAGGAGAGTGCCCCAAGGGTTGGTGCTAGGGCCAATTTTGTTCAACATCTTTATGGATTGCACCCTCAGTAAGTTTGCAGATGACACTAAGGGTATGTCTACACTACAAAGTTAGTTCGAACTAACGGACGTTAGTTCGAACTAACTTTCCTAGGCGCTACACTAGCACTCCGTTAGTTCGAACTTAATTCGAACTAACGGAGCGCTTAGTTCGAACTAGGTAAACCTCATTTTACGAGGATTAAGCCTAGTTCGAACTAGCTAGTTCGAATTAAGGGCTGTGTAGACCCTTAATTCGAACTAGTGGGAGGCTAAGGCTTCCCAGGTTTCCCTGGTGGCCACTCTGGACAACACCAGGGAAACTCTATTGCCCCCCTCCCGGC